CAAGAGAATCAGTGGATTCCCGAGACTCAAGCCACTCGAGGGAAAGATCAGCTGAGAAAACAGAGAAAACTCATAAAGGATCAAAGAAGCAGAAGTACGTAACCCCCTGTATGTCACCCTATTCAGACTCTTGAGTCTCTTGCCTGCCCCTTTGAGCTGTACACCACCACATCTTTCAAGCTAGATGGCTTTGGGGTTAGGAATTATAGCAACTTATGTTTCTTGTTTTGTACCATGTAACTACAAGCAGGGTCCCTAGTTTTAAAACAGAAATTCGACATCAAAATGTGATCCTTGTCCAGAGAACGCTTCGTGGGAGACGTGAATCTTTTCATTTGACTACAGGGATGATGTAGAGAATCATTTGGGAATTCTTTTTGTAGTTGTTTTAGACAAGTTCTTTCTCATTGCAGATTTTCATGGGGAAGTCATAGTTTAGAAATGGCTCAAAGTCATTGTCAAGTAGTAATGCTGTTTAGTCAAAGAAACAGTGTGGAACTAGATCAAACAAGATTGTTGATGCTTTTTAAATTAGTTTCACAGACAGTTTCAAGAGAGGTGTTCCAAATATTCCTTAAACAAAGGTGGCATTGTTGAACTTCGTAGGACAACATTCATACCAAGGTCCTGATGTTTCTGTTTACATTTTTGAAAGGTCCATGACTTTTCAATCATGTCTCATTAAAAGTAGCACAGCTGAAGTTCACACCTTCCATTAAGAAGCGGCATTTCTTCTATTTCTGAGCTTCAGCTGTTAAGCATTTTTATATCCCTCCCCTCCCCCACCCCTCCCCTTTGAGATTTACCAGTTTACAACTCTTTGAGATAAATTAACAGTTTGTTTAATACCTGTTTTGTCCGTTTGAATAATAAAAGAAGCTAAGCTCAAGATAATTAGTTTAATATCACACAGGTATCAGCTATTAATAATATCAAAACTCAGATCTTTTTTTTTCTACTTTGTTTTCTGTTCTACTCTGTTACTTATGCCTCATGTGTTAGGACCCCTAGCAGCTTCCAGGTCTGCCCATAGATAAAGGACCTGATAATCCTCAGGGCATGGAAGTGCCAGTGCAGTAGTCCAAGGCTGCCATGGTGGAAAGGGAGGGAGCAGCACTCCTCAAGCATTTCGGGGTTGGGTCTGGGTACCCAATCTGATTCCTCTTCCTGAAACATGTGCCTACCTCTGACTTGCTATGTGTGACCTTGAACAAGTCTCTTTCAAACCCTGGTGTTCTGTGATTTGAGGCAAGGGAAAATATTAAAGATAATTCACTATTCTCATTAATATATCACCCGACAGTTTATAAGAACTCTTTTTTTTGTTTTGAGACAGAGTCTCATTCTGTTGCCTGGGCTAGAGTGCTGTGGCTGTCAGCATAGCTCACAGCAACCTCAAACTTCTGGGTTCAAGCGATCCTCCTGCCTCAGTCTCCTGAGTAGTTGGGACTACGGGCATGCACCACTATGCCCGGGTAATTTTTTGTTTTTATATATATATATATATTTAGTTGTCTAGCTAATTTCTTTCTATGTTTTTAGTAGAGATGGGGGTCTCTGCTCAGGCTGGTCTCGAACTCCTGAGCTCAGATGATCCTCCCGCCTTGACCTTCCAGATTGCTAGGATTACAGGTGTGAGCCACCACGCCCGGCCAGAACTCTTCCTTATAAAACTGAAGAATGACTTACCCAAGTCACTTAGCTAAGAGTGCTAAGACTCAAATTTGGGGCCTTTTTGAGAGTCTTATTATTGAAAACCTCCTGCAATAGCACTGATTTTTAGTGGGGTCAGAGTTATGCATCTGAATTATAAGCATTTTATGACACTAACTTCAGTTTCTCCATTTTGAGTAGATGGAAGACCCAAGTGTGTTTGTGTAGAGGGTGGAAGGCGGTGCTTTTCATAACGGGGGACTGAGGGAAGGGAGAAAGACAATGAGAGGTTACTGACACTTGGCTGTTTTTTCCCTAGAAGTCCTTCTCTGTCCTGGGAGCCTGGCCTTTCTGCCACCTTAGAGGCATTTGATAACCTCTGCTACCACATGGCAGGGCTGGCACCCACCTTAGTATATAGACGGTGACTCATCGTATTAAGCTAATTTGCCATAGTCTGTAATTTCCCCTAGATGAAGGGAAGGGAAGCGAAATAACTCTGGGAAGAGTTTCCCCAGATCCTGGGCTTAGTAACACAACCTGTTTGAGCTCAGTGGGAGGTGGTAATGTGGAGTGGTATAATTAGAGCTAGGTTGGCATCTAGGTTCTGCTCTGTCACCTGAGTCTCCAGTCTATAAAGTGGGAGAAATAATACTGAATGATACTGCTGTTTACTGCATGCTGGCTATTCGAGGTAACGTGTTAAACACACTTATTTTTTTAATCTTTAGAGCAACCCCATAAGACAGGCAGTATTCCTGTGAAAACTAAAAGTGATATAAAGCACTGACAACTGGTCATACATAAAGCCTCTGGCCTAGTACCGGATGCATGTACTTCTCAGCACACTGTCAGTTTCCTTCTCCCTTTCTAATTTATGCAGATATCTTAGACTGAGCTACCCAAGGCCAGGGACTATGTTTTGTTCCTCTTCCTGTGTATGTCATGTGTTCATCACAGACTCAGACATAGATGTGTTATCAAAAATGACTGACAGAATTGAGGGGAGGTGTCCAAGATATCCTAGGTGGGTGGGTTGGGGCTGAGCTGTTTAGGTTACTCATCCTCAGTTTCTTCATCACAGACACACTCCTGATTATTCTGTGCTGCTTATTATGCACAAGGTCCTAGCCAACGGCTGTCCGCTATGGGCTTATTGACTTCCTGGCTCTTCTCTTAATAGGAAGCACCGGAGAGCACGAGACCGGTCCAGGTCATCCTCCTCTTCCTCCCAGTCCTCTCACTCCTACAAAGCAGAAGAGTACACTGAGGAGACAG